TATCAAGAAAGGAAGGTAATATTATTTATAATAACACTTTTGAATATATTATTTAAAAACAAACAAATTGTTTGTTATTAGATTTTATAAATAACACTGAAATTATAAGATAGTCGCCAAATTATGAAAGACTGTTATAAAACGCGGAAATAAAGCCGTTGTTTAGTTCATAAAACTGAACAAGTTATGTTTTACGACTCTTTAGAAGTCGTAAAATAAAAAAAAATATATATTCATATTATGGACTACGACTGAGACTTTTGGAATACATCGCAAAATTGCAACCGGGAAAATTATTGCTATTTATGCTAATGAGGATCATGAACCCAATGTGCAAAATTTACATTACATCACATTACAAATCTTATCGGATTATAAAGCTTTTACTTTGTTAGTAAAGTAAAAACCTTTTGTCTAGTAATCTTGTAATATTACAATATATATATTCGCAATAGATATAGTAAATAAACAATACATCTCCACAATTTAGGCTAGGATTACCCGTTTATTAATTAGGGGTTACAAAATATCTATGTATATAGCGTTTTAAAAACAAATACGTGCATATTTTCTTTTAATGGGTGATAATGAAATGATCACTCGGCCTGCGCTATCGGTATACGCTGGCAGGGCACCAGTGATGGATGATAGGTGACGATGTAGCAGGTCAATTAGCCCATCATGACGAATTCCAGTAGAATTAACCACGATGGTTTCCAGTGGGAACCGCGTGCAGGTTGACTTGATAGGGTTTATTGCTAGCAATGCGGCAGTTAAAACCAATTACTAACAATCCCTTTGCCTACAATACGTGCATGTTACACCTCAGGAGAATACGATACATTGGTGTGATATGAAATCATAATTGTCCACGCCTTGGGGCTCGATAGAAACCATGCGGGCTCATGAAGCCGCAACGGGTAGTCAATGATCTGTTCGTGCAATCGACTATTAGAGGGATTACCTCAGATATGTTAAAAATTTTTCGCAGATATGAGACTGCATCTAAAGCAACCAATTATCAACAAAAGTATCCCATATCTATGAGTCGAGGAATGAATTTAACACTAATCTCTTTTGGAGATAAGCTTGCCTTTGTGCATTATTGTTTGTTTTTTTTTTCTATTTCAATAACTTTTTGTGTACAATAAAGAATAACTACATAACTAACTAGCATTACATTAAATCAAAAAATGCGACAATATTAATAGAGCGAATAAATCTACAAATGTCATTAATACAATTATTTTAAAATATACAATTCTATATTCAATAAAAATGATGAAATTAAGACGAGATCGTACACAAAAGTATTTCTACACTGTTTTCACAAAATTGTAATCCTGTCACACACTGTTTCACAAAATTATAAGACATTGTTAACCTACTTTTCATTCATATATCTATGCTATACATTCACTGCTTAATTAGCATCGTGGAGGTAGGTAATCAGCCAAATATCATGGTATGTAATTATCTTTAGTAATGTCAAAATTAAAGTAAGTATAGGATTGTTAGGCCAATTTTCATCTCCTATTTAGTCAAGTCTAAACTTAGTAGACAACAGAGTGCCATAGCTTTACGACGTGTCCACTACAAATGTTTCCCTTAGTGATTACGAGGCAAGGGACATTAAATATTCAGTACACCCTGCACTTTCCCCAGCCCCACTTAACGTGGGTTCGATGCACTATATATATTCAGCACCACACCGCTATTGTTGTATCGTCAGGATTAGTTTTTACTTGTTCAACTTCATGGATCCTTTTTCGTTAATTTAGAATAGCTCTAAATAGATATATCGTTTACCTTTTACTCTATTCATATTAAGAAATTATTTTTTTGTATATTTTTTTTTAATCTTTTTTTATCGAAGAGTACCTGGGCAGACCTGTATATATATATATATATATATATATATATATATATATATATATATATATATATATATATATATATATGATTTTAGTTTTTTATGTTTATTCACAGTGTGTTGTTAGCGTGTAAAGATCATCATACCGTTGCTACCCTGTACAGCTTGACTAGTGTTGATCAATACTTAGATTTAGATAATTGACATGTTACAATTGGGTTTTTAATTGGTTGGTTAATTGGGATTTTATTTTTTATGCTTACTTAGAATCAAAGCGTTTGCATTTACAATGATACCTATCATAAGAAGTTTAAAATATATTTACTTGCACATCTGTTTCAATGAGTCACGACATTGTAGACAATGCTCTCATCTGTCTTTGTAATTTGGCGCTTACTCACAATTTTGGCGAACTCTAATGTCTAGTTGTGTCGCGATGTTATACGTAAATTCATCAGCTTATCAGAGATAGATGTGGTCATTGTCAGGCCAAAAGTGTATACAAAGACTTAAAACCAACCAATTTGTTCCTTTGCGTACGTAACGTTACAATAGCTAATCAATCCTACTAATACGAGTATAAAGACAAAGTCACATAAAGCAGTTAGTTTATACTAGTTATCTTATGTGATTTTATCCGCGTGCATTAGTATTTAAAGTATTTTACGTGTTAAGTTATAACTTGCCTGTGTACCAAATTTCATTTAAATCTATTATAATACTTATTATCTGTTATAACTGATTTTGATGCATGTGAGTAAAACCGCGGCAAACAGCTTCGTTATGATAAATTACCATTCTGAATTCTATACAATTCCAAATATAATTGTCTATTGTAAAGATTGGTGTTATGTTGTAAACTATTTACCGTATAGTGACGTAATATCCCGTTGTGATACATACTGTTCATTATTTGTATAATGGACCTAACGATGGTATTGCAAGTTCAGTCGATTCATTTACTCTATTCATTTATTTCCTTTGATGTAAGTATGTATTGAAGGGAAGGTTTATCTTCATCTCGTCAGTGATCACACAGTGTAAGAAAATAATTCAAGTCGTGCTAATATTTGTTCATCTAATCTGTAATTTATTGTTAACTAGGTGGACCCATGTCTAGCGTGATGAAACATTTTGGTTGACTGAGATAAAAATAACATGTCTTTTTTTAAATGCTAGGTGCATGACTTTCATAACAATGGGTTAAGCTGTTAGCGTAAAATAACAAAGGAACAAACTTGCTTTTACGTTTAATATTAATACAGTCATGTTAGTATAGAATTAAGAACTTTTCTCTAGTGTTAGTCCAATAGCTAAGTTTTCGATAAAAGAATCAGATATCATATAAAACATAATGGGAAGTTTAGCAAGGTACAAATGAAGCCTTATAAGCCTTATATAATTTATTACAATACTTATAATGTTAGTGGGGAAACAATTTATTAGTCGTTAAAAACACCATTATAAATCTTTTTCAGAATTGTTATAAACAAAATAGCTTTAAGGCATTCAATATATCAATCAGCTATGATGGCTCTTGTAACAATCTACATATTGTTACGGGGTTATTTCTATGTATATAATTACTGATACCTAACTGTATGGCATTACGAGTCCTTCGTACAGCATTGAAAATAAAATTATCATCAAGATATATCTAGAGATAAATACAAATGTAGATTTAAAATAGCATGCGATGAGATGTAACTGGATGGGTACTTTCAATTTCTACATGATGCCATTAGGTGGATTTAGACGAACCAATTCTCGTTCTTTCAAATTTTAATTTGGATAAATGTACTAAGAGCGTTTTAGGATTCTAACCCAGTTGTTCTATTTTCTAGTCCCATTTTTGTTCTTTATTCTTTTAGTTTCAATCGATTTTTAGGCATATTGTTTAATACATTTCAAAACTTGTTTAAAATGAACTAATTAAATTTTGGACAATATTTTGTTCGTTATGTACAAGTATTGTTAGTTAATGCGCGGCGTATTCTCATACTCATGTGTTAATTTAATGCTTTTAATTCTTTAGAACAGTGCGTGCTACACAGCAGCAGCCAGCTGTAATTTATATCTCCCACTTCGGTTTACAAGGTCAATGTCTTTATACATCAAAACGATAAAAAATAACCGTCTGATTGTATTGTCTTTGTGAATTATACTGAAAGATTTTTAACGACGACATATGTAGCTATATGTATGCTGTAAATTGCGTTATGTGATATAAAGTAAGCAAACAATACTTGTTTAAAAGCATGACGTCATGAAATCGAGAAGAAAGTAGTTACTACAACAATCCAGTGATTCATTGACTGGGGAGAACACTGTTTAGTTTAATTGAAATCACAATAATATTATTTTATATATTTGCTTTGTGGTTGCAATCGTTGGTTAAGTATTGAGCGATTAATAACATTATTTTCATGGTTAAACAGTAATAGTATAAATTACAAATGTCAACTAATCGATTTATGATTTAAAAAAAAGATATGCCATTTGTGTATCCACTGAATTTTTTAAAGTCATAAAACAGAGCAGCACCTCGATTAGTTAAGCAACGGAATAAGTCAAGTCACTGCTTTGGATTTTAGGTAAATAGAAATTTGCACTACATCAGTCTTACAAGTGCAGTTATATGATTGTATTAAAAATCTCCCCTAGTCCAGTCCCTTAGCGAGCCATGGAAAGGACAGTGCTCGATATATTTTATAGATTTTGGATTTTCCATTGCGTTAGCGTATCTCGATTTACGTTATTCAATACGTACGTATTAAGTCATTTCGAATAGATGGCATCGATTCACATAAACCTTCGTTTGTAGCATAAAATGTTAATGTCAATTAATGTTCAAAACGAACAACATATCCGAATACATTAATGCACATTATGTCCCATCCGTTCTTACAGTCATTGGTTCGTATAATGACGTAAGTCTCATTCAATGTTTGGTGATAAAACTGTATTATGCAGAGTTATAAATGGTTGTCATCAAATTAGTATTCATAACACTCTATTCTAATGCTGTTACAAGTCTATAAATCTATATAAAAATACCAATTCAGTACGAGTAATGCAAAGAAAATAGTAGACTAATTTGACTAGAAATGTAAATTGTTTGTTACAGATGGCGGGGAAGTATATACAAACTAGTATGGCTCGACCTTCTTGTTTTTTTATTGATATATTATTTATTAAATTTAACTTATCGTCTCTTACTAAACGAGGAATCGAAAAGGTATATATTTGTTTTCTTTAAATGTTATGTGTCTAAATGTATGTTTAACACACGTTATTCAACCTTTATATAATTTATTCACATTAATTAGGATGAAAGTATCTTATATAATTAATTATAACAAAATTTTAACGTACAAACATAGCCTACGTTTGTACGTTAGATGTATTTAAGAAAAAAAAATTATATGCTGAAATATTTCTTTGTTTGTCTGTATCTTTATGCCACAATCATACAAAAACTATTGCACCGAGTTGGATGTGGTATGTAAAAGTTGTATTCCTGAAAGTCGAACTAAAAATGCGGAGATATTACGTATGTAATGTTTTATTATCTACTTCCAAAATCTATTAAAACTTGAGGGCAAAAATTAGTCTAATATTAATGTAAGCTTCATGTTATAGGTGTATTTATACCGAATTTTATTCAAAAATAATTCACATAAAAACATTTTTACAAACTGTTTATTGTTTAGATGTAAAATCTGCTTAATATAATATTGTTGAAATTTCGTATTGTTTGTTTAAAATGTAATAAAATATGTACCTTAATTTTTCAGGACATTTGAAGGCGTGGTAAACTATTGCAGTTTTCATGGAAATGTGATACCATTGTCTTTTGTGCTGGGTTTTTATGTGACAGTTGTGATGAATCGTTGGTGGAATCAATACACTACTATACCGTGGCCTGACTCCATAGCGGTATTCGTATCGGCCACCATTCACGGGCAGGTATGTAATGTAATGTGTGTACCTAAATGAATTCTTTTTATGTTTGAAAGTTTGCTTTTTTTTATTAAATTTTTAGATTTAGTAAAAAGAAATAGGTATGTTATACATACATTATTTATTATTTTTAGTTAATAATGATTATTTTATTTGAAATCCATTTTAATATGCATATTTTTACGTATTAAAATGTTGAATAAAAGCTATGTGATGATGTTAGTTTTTGCACTAGATTATTCTTAATAGAGCATTAAGTGTAAAAAACGGGCCCACTTTTAGTCAACTGAACGTCAAATTGGTAGACTTGTTTTTTTTTTTTTTTTTAATAAAATTAAACGCTTTTTTTAACCTTGTAAGTAATTAGATAAAAAATTTCCATGATTTTTTAATTAAAATTTGGAACAATTTTCGGATATAAATATGTAGATGTACGTATTGCTTAGAAATTAATATACACACATTAATTAAAATAGCGGCCATTTTCAATTTAAAAAAAATGTTACGTAATTATTTTTTAATTTAATGTTACAGTATACTTTTTTCCATATTCTTAGTAATAAATGTATCTTATGGTAACCCTATTCACGCAGCATGAATAAAAAAGTTAATTTGTGTTTATCAAAGAAGTTGTATGGAGACGCTCTATCTATATAATCTAAGTTTTGTAAAATATATAAAGGATTCGAGCTGTTGAAATATATTAATGTATAAGGTTTAGGTGAACATTCAAGTAAACCTTACGCATTTATATATTTTACATATAGATAACATAATCTTACCGCTCTATTTAGTTTATGATCTCGTATCCATATATGACATTATGCAAGAATTTTGATCAAAATAATATTAATACTATTTAGAGAAAACTGTTAGTTCACTTTTATAACTTTTTCTTTGTGGTAGGCTGAAATTATTAAAAAGATACGTAACGGGAATATTTTTTATCTATGGTGTTAATATGTTTTCAAAATAATGCTTTATAACAATTCCATTGTCTTACTTTTATCTTATCTTTAATAGGCGTGCGTTATATTCTCTTAAATAGAATTGCTTTAACTACCCAAATACATAAGTATTTATGTTAATAATTAGATAGGTATACAATTTATTTCTGCCATTAAAAATATGTTTTTTGTATTTGTATAAATTTTCTAGAATTAATATACGATTAATATAATTGATTTTGTTTCTATTAAAAGGTACTGTTAATGACTAAGTTATCTATTTGCTTCTGTATATATCTTTCGGGTATATTCTGATATCGTTTTGTATATATGTGACATTGACTTTTTCACTTTTTGTATTTACCTATTGATAGTTAGATTTTTAATCAACTAGGTAGGTAAATATCTACGCTAAAAATAATGTTTACGTATCACACAATCTAAAGAACTCTATTTTAGTATCTAATTACGTGTATGATATGTGAATATTAGTTGCCTCACACAGCTACAAGACCACTCGACTAAATCATGTATCTGTGGACGCATCTCGATCAAGAATTCTGATAATTTAACCTTCCACTTATTATCCATATGACGTCACGTTATGTTCTACATTGGATTAATACTTATTGCAAATTATTGGGTACAAACATTACAATAGTGAATAGGTATAAAATATTTTAATGTTAATTATTATTTTACAGTAGCTAGTACAATAGTTTTAAATTTTAAAATGTAGTACTTTATCATTGAACTTATTAGGTACTAGATAGATATCTTTTATCATTCTTAAAATATTGTTAGCTTACGTCATGTTTATCGTATGTCGCTACCAATGTTTTAATATTCACTGCGGTTAATTTAATAAAATACCAATTTTATGAAGCGGATGATTGATTCACATTTCAATTTTGCGAGGATCGGTAAAGCTCTATTCACATTAAAACGCTCAGCGAATAAATAGCCGTATTTATTGTACAATAATTCTTATTTACTGTTTTAACTTTTCTTATTTCCCAATACAGCCGATAAATGTACGTGAGATATTTAGTTTTATTTTATTAGTAATAGTTCTAATTTTCGGTTTTGGTAGAATCTAATTTTGCAAACCGGCTAGATGATTTGTAATTGGGCGAGTTGTACCATTTGGCTGTGACATTTATATATCAGTATTACCTTCAGTGGAGTCATTTCGATATGATGAGAGTTGATAAAAATTGTTACCTAATCTTAAAAATGACAAACGCTTTAATTATATAAGTTATATAATCCCGTATATAGTTATATGTTTGTATTTTTTTACGTTAATAATAATAACTAAGGACACCCACTTCAGAATATCATGTATTGTTTAGATTTAAATATAATTAAGTACCCTTATCTTGCAATCTCAATAACGTATCACTATTTTCTGATTTTCTCCTTCATTTACGCGACATATGAGCATAAATCGTAGATAGTTAAGGTAATTTTAACAAGTGATGAATAAAACGGGATGTACTTAGTTGAATTATTATAACATTTGAGCGAACAGGACGAGCGGGGGCGACTGATGCGGCGCACTATAGTCCGCTACGTGTGCCTGTGTCTCACGATGGTGCTCACTATGATCTCGCCTCGAGTCAAGAAACGCTTCCCAATGCTCAGCAACTTTGTAGAAGCTGGTCTACTACTAGAAAATGAGAAAACAATTCTAGATAATCTCAACGATAAGTTTCCTAAGCCATCTAAACATTGGTAAGATATATGTAGACGCTTATTTAAATATTATATATACTTATTTGATTGCCACGTAATCTAAAATAGAACATGTAACATAGTCTTCTAATCTCAAACTTTATGCGAGATAGGTGAACACTTAAAGGTTTTATAAATAAATATCTTTCAGTGAAATAAATCGTATTAAATAGGTACAAGAGCGCAGTGGCATTACTAAGTAACATTTAATATAAAATTTATAATGATAAACAGGAAGAAATCAGTCGTTACGTCATGGAATAAAACTGCTTTTGATTTTCTTGGTTCTTCATCATATTATCATAGTTAATTACACGTAATATATAGATAGCCATTTGAATGTGTTGCATAGTTGACATACATACGTACGAATGTTAAACAAACTGAAAACAATATTACAGTGTTCAATTCGAATCTATCATTTGGCGTGTGTATGATTAACATCCAAATATGTTCATTAAATTTCACATTTATGATACTAGTAATAGATCATAAATGTAAAACTATGAACGAAGATATAAATTGATAATAGAATCTTGCAACCGATTCAAAATTTGCAAGGGGGTTGGTAGAGTTTTAAGACTATCCATCATATTATTTATTTTAAATGTACAAGGTCGTCAATTCAAACTCGTAAAACTACGTTGTCTATTAAATTTTTCTGTACAAATTCTACCGTCTAAATGAGAAGTTGTCTATGGAATCAGTATGGTTTATAGACGAGAGGTAAAGGTGGATGAAGTAAAATTTGGCACGGTTTTTACTGTCTACTCTTTGAGATATATCTTTTAGCGAAAAAAAACCCTCCAATAGAGGGCTATTGGAGGGTTTTTCAGTAGTTGCCACGATTGGCAGGAGGTTTGGCAACCGCAGTTAGGCTTTGGTGATGTTTAAAGAGGAAAGCTATTGTCCATCCCTCGACTATTAAGTTCCCTTAGTTACCTCACACGACACCCACGAAAAAGAAAGAGGTGGCTCATTTGCCGGGACCATACGGCTATATATGTTTCTCATTTGTTATTTTTTGACGATAGGCCATTTATTTATTTATTCATTAGTACAAATATGTCTACATTGCGGACTCATAGCTAAAAGAATTCTCTCCCAGTCAACCATAGGGAAGTGTCAGAATACTCGAATGCGGTACCACTAATTATTGATATACATACATACTAAAATTACATATATAAACGATTGTATGTGAATATGTTAATCACAAACATGCTTCCATATTTACTAATAATCTCAGTATCTTATTAAATGGTGTTCTATCTCCTACCGTTCAAGGTTACCAATAGTTTGGGCGACCAGTATAGTGACAAGAGCCCGTAAAGAGGGCCGCATAAGAGATGACTTCGCTGTAAAAACTATTATAGACGAATTGAACAAATTTAGAGGACAAGCTGGACTGTTACTTAGTTACGATACTATCAGCGTACCCTTAGTGTATACTCAGGTACCTATACACATACATTTTAATTAGCCAGATACATACTGCTTTGCGTGATACAACATCCTTGTGATTAATTCTCTTAATTGTTCTAATTAAAACGCTATTTTCTCATTTCAGGTAGTTACCATTGCCGTTTACTCATATTTTATAACTTCTGCTTTGGGTAGCCAGTGGGTCGATAACAAACTACAATCTCATAGTACTTCAGTCCAAATCAGTAATATAGATCTTTACTTTCCTATATTTAGTACATTAGAATTCTTCTTCTACATGGGCTGGTTGAAAGTAGCGGAGTCTTTAATAAATCCCTTCGGCGAAGACGATGATGACTTTGAAGTGAATTGGCTGATAGACAGGGATTTACAGGTAAGTGGTTAATGTTAGTATCTATAATGTAACATTGTTTTTTTTTATACAACTTAGAATGGCAAACAAGCTGACGGCCCACCTGATGAAAAATGGTAACCGTCGCCTATAGACATGAGCAGTACTATGGACATAACAGAGTATTCTGTTTCGCCCATGATACCCCCCATGCGTTGCCATTCCTGAGGACTCAGGTGTTATTCCTCTGTACCCAGTAAATGCACACTATTATTCCACTCTTCAAACCTAAACACAGCCATGCAAACACAACTGCTTCACGGTTGAAACACGAATGGGACAGAGGTACCCAAGCAATCGACTTTTGTACAAAGTCTCCCTTTTGTTTTATTAACATGCCACATTAAAATTAATTTCTGTTAATGCGTTGCAATAATTATTTTTGAGAACATGTCAAGAACAAGTTGGTTAATCAAAAAGGATGTTGTTGTCGATTCATCTGTTTATAATATTTGTATTTTGTGTCAATATCATGAGGTACTTTAGTTATTTTTAAAACAATTTTTTTAAATAATACATAATACATTATGAGTAAGCAGTTTCCGTTCCAATGCGCAGGTTTCCTATATGATAGTAGACGAAATGCACCATGAGCATCCGGAGCTGATCAGGGATCAGTACTGGGACCAGGTGTTCCCATCCGAGTTGCCATACACGATAGCTACCGAGAACCAGCGCGAGGAACACCCCGAGCCGTCGACGGCGCGTGTGGCGGTGCCGGCGCGGCAACGCAGCATGGTCACCGTGGCGCCCTCCTCGGTCAAGATCGACGAGATGGCGCCATCCAACACCGTGAGTTACAAGTTCGCCCCGCCAGAGGTTAGACTCGTCCTATTATACGCATGCTGCACGCTCGGACTATATGGAGCTTAGCAGTGTGTCGGTGTTAAGGGTTGCCAATATATTGTTTGTTTCTTTATACAGTCATCAATAATGTAACCGGTTGGGTATTATATATATTTATAATTTTGGATATGCATATATCAGTCATTTATTACATATTTCCAATAATGTATCTTGTACGTTTTTAATTTTTATTATTGTATACTAAATTGTTCATGTCACGCATACGTACAGTCGAGTCTGCACTTTATTTAAGATATTTATGTGTTTAAAATATTTAGGTGTTATTTGTTTAAACTCCATACTAAATAATCTATATGATACTACCATGCACGTGTAAAATATAAAACATAATAGATATTCAACTTCATGTACTTTTAAATTGCATAATTATGCCATAAAGACAATGTTTTCAATGTAGGAAAATATCTATTTTGACGCTAAAATCTGAATAGCTCTGCAAATGTAATAAATATATAACAAAAGACAACGTTTAAAATAAATCAACGCAATTACGCGATATGAATTGAAAATATGTTATTAATATTCGCAACTTGACATTTTTTATTTGTAAATAGAGTCTATTTACTAAAAGCTAGCTGATCAGAGCTGAACAGTCAGTACATTTTACTGTCTATACTGTATTTTTTTTTCATAAAGTCAATTGATTTTAGCTATATTCTAACAGAGTAAATAAATATTTTAAACTATATAATAAAATACAATTGATCCGACAGTCGTTGCCCTATTTTATTTATTTATTTATTTAAACTTTAATGCATAGTAAAATTCTATGTACATTTGGCGGACTTAACACCGGACGGTGGTTATATTCATATTTCATATTTCCTATTGATATTTTTTCTCTGTAAATTTATTTTATCAGACATACAGAAATTTTAATAAACGCTAAATTGCCATTTTTAAGAGATATACTTACCAACCAATGGCATTTCGATTTATTCATATTAACAATTTTAAAGTACAACAGTAGTAATAGTAAAAAATATAATGAAGCTTCAAATAAAATAGAATGAATCAACGGTTTATTTTAAACATATACTCATGGGATATAGATATTTTATCTTATCATTTAAATACATTTTCCTTAATAAGCTATTAACTTCCTTATTGGGCTAATACGTAAACTGTAATAAAATTATATCGTAGTTTAAGATATAAATAGATAAAAAAAAAGTATTACTTTCTCACAATATGAGTAATCCAAGAAGTAACATTGAATATAAATATATATAAATATTTGGCAGCCCTTTGCAGTAAATAATCGCATTTTACTTATGAGGTATATTGCGTAACTAACGATGGCAAAACGGTTTTTAGAATAATTAAGAAATAGAATAGTCATACTTATATCTGTTTAAGTTTTGAGTATTAATATACATAGGTATATTGAAATAGATTTAGTCGTATAATGTAACCATTATTATTTTTATAAAGATGGAACTAATAATTTACTTACCTAGTAGAAATAAATTCTAAAGATTAACAGTATATATTTACCTATATTAACATAGCTCTATTATGGTTTGGTCCTTAGAAGATACATATAGTTAACAGCTTCGGTGCGATAGTGCTAATTTTTTATCCTAACTTATAAGTACATATATATTTACTATGCGTGTTATGTATCTAGACTAACCTATCTATTAATGCTTTGTACAATGACCTTCGTGTTGTGTTTACTTTATCCACATACTATCTTGTTCAAATTAATGTTTTCATGTGAAAAATCTATCTTCAGTTATCGTGTTGTTTGTTTCTTGGCTTTTAACGGAAACTTTCTTTATCTGCTGTAAATTGAAGCCAGAATTTAATATCAAAATTTAATGTTGTAATTAAGAATTAGGCGTTTCAAATAATACGTATCTTAGGTACTTACTTGTTTCTATACATGGAACTTGCTATCTACTAAATTTAACTAATAATATACTTTTGCTTCTGATATTTGTCCATTTCTTTGTTAAAAATACGGACAAATAAATTATCCAGTTATTAACATATAAACTTTTAATATCCAAATAGCAATTGCAAATGAACGACGATGCTGCTTCCGGTATACATTTCATCGTGTCGAGAGGAAGCAAACGAGGAAAAAAAGAAGACCGAAATTCCATGGGATCAACAAATTCTATGGTCTCATTGCAACAGACTCCTATGACCCGAACCAACTCTGTTACTTCAATGTTGAAAAGGTTGTTTTCAAAAGAAGACCAAAGACAAGGCTCCACTACAGTTCCGTCGCAACCTGATGGAGGTGGGTTTAAAATCGGGTTTTGATAACCATAATTACATAAATAATATCTAGTTTTAGTAGGTACATGATGTAAGGGAATAGATGTAACACGACGAAACTCAGTATATTTATGGAACATGAAAATAATTTTAAATCTCTCATATGATAAATTAATTACATTGCACTTAAGTCAATATGCCCATTACATGTTCTATAGGACGAAAACTTCATAATGAGAACACGTAGGAATTGCCGATATTCTATTATCTAAATTAATATGATAAAGAGTATCATACACTGAGTATTCTTAAGTAAATAGTTTGTTCATACAGTATTGTGGAGAATAACAAATATTTTGAATTTGAATTTTAATATTATAAATTAGAAAGATTTGATTATTTGCTTATAATGGATAAATACAAAAAATATTTAACCGATTTCAAAATTATACCTATATAAAGTTATATTGTCACAACACCTTACAAAGCCGATGCGGTTTTATAAAACGAAATTTATTTATTTACACTTTATTGCACCAAGTAAAAGAGAAATAACAAATACAGTAAATATTAATGAGAAGTGATACAAAAGGCGGCCTTATTGCTAAGCAATCTCTTCCAGACAAAATATACGTTTGTTGTAATTGTTGTTGTTAAAATTTTCAGTGTCTCGATTTATAATATCTGCAAGTAATCCAACCCTCAATAAGCCGGCCACTGCAGGCGGTGGCAGCATGAAAATAGCTAATGAGGTCATCGAAGAGGTTGACGAACAAGCTACAATTACAAGCATGGCCAAGCGACCAGAAAACAGGTAATATAAAAAGTCGTATTATTCAGTAACAGGTACAGCATCATGTTGAATCAATCTGCAGAGGAGATGCCTTAATGCCAGTTTGTTATTTTATCGCAAGCAAACTATCGTTGAGGAGCCATCGATATCTGTTCAGATGAGCTCTGTCTACAAATAGAGCCATTGTTTCTCCTTCTGTACCATCTTTACTAATATTTATATTAAGTAGATGATAATGGAATGATGGCCATGCCTGCGCTAACGATATATACTGGCGGGGCATCAGTGAGGGATGATAAGTGAGGATGAAAAGGCCAGGTCAAGCTACTTTTTATCCCGGTTAGTAAACATATCCTGTTTACGCAAACGATGTCGCGGGTAAAAACTAGTAAATTATAAAAATAAAAGTAATTACACAGCGACGTTTTCAAACAAATTCGATATTTCGACCTTCAAAAAGACAAATCTGTCTTAAAGGCCTAAAACAACAAGACAGTCTAGACATCTCATTAACTTGTATATTGCAAGACATGTCCATGCATGTACGAGATGTACTGCATAAGCGACATTATCATATGTGATAATAACAAATCAATCACTGATAATTAATTTGTGCAGCCTAAATACACATAACTTTACACATTTTAACAACAGCATATTTACTGCGATTATATGTTTGTGAGCTCTGATTGAATACAATATTTACCTATTATAAATGTATATTTCAGGCCAACAGCGATGAGTGTATTTCAAAAGGCGACCGCTCCTAGCGAACCAGTAAATGTGCCATCGAGAAACTCGAATCATAGCTCCAGTAAGTATTCATGTCTTTATGCATGCATGCAGGCATGGTAATAGGTAATATGATTAGTTGTAGTAGTAGGGGTTATAAAATACACATGGATTTTTTAGTATTTGTTTTATATAAAAGTATTTAATTTAGTAAAACTTTAATTTTCTATTAATGATTACTTGATTGGTTTTATTTATATAAAATCTACTTTTCGTGTGTATTTTGAATGACACAATTCATGAATCATACTTTAAAATGTTCTTATTATTCATAAATACGTAATTCTTCTATTAAGCAAAAATTATGAGTCTGTTTTATGAACATATTATATATTTTAAACACTTATATAGTTCAGAGAAACATATTATTTATTGTATGATAGCGGTATAAAACTTAAATTTAAAATGAAATTGGCGTATTTAAGATTATTTTCAAGAGAGGGAGGTCTCGTAAAAAAGGTGTATATGCCATGAACAGACATGTCTTTGTATGCCCAAAAAGGCTTTATTTGGTTTCTGAAGTGGGCGCCTAGTTTATAGGATGGTCACAGACCACCCAGCAAACACGCTATAAGTAGGTGATGCTATAAATCTGCATGGCACGTTGCTTTATATTTTATCCTTGTATGGATGTTTGGAGTACTTTATTTCCAAGGCATGAACGGTGCCATGGTAATTTTTGCAGTTCTCTTATGCGAGTGATTTTCTTTTTCTTGTCGTAATCTCACAAAATTTGTTTTACTTGTGTGTGAATTATGAAATTTCTGAAGTTTTTAAGTGTTCTTGGAATGCGTAGCAAAGGGACACCAGGAGAGCTATTTCCATATCACAATTTTAAAAAGGCAACAATGAAGTTATTAAATTTTGAATAAATAAAGTTCTTTAAACTATAGTAGTGGTTATAATATGTAACGATATATGTAGATACAAGGTTGTCCATGTCGGCGCCGACGAATTGGTCGCGTTCGGGTGTAGACGAAGCGGGCGATAAGAGTCCGGCCGCGCAGTCTCTCAACACTCAACCGTCGTTCCCGAGCATCAGCGGCGAGTCCCGCCCGCGCCTCGACAGCGACGTTGGCCCTTCGCTTAGCGCCGCCGGCAGTCAGACTTTATGTAAGGGATTTTTTACTTCTGCATTTCATAATGTTACAATAGATGTCTGTTAACGTTACGGCAGATGTCTATTGAGAGAATTAAGTAAAAATTCACACTAATGTCGATTACGGTCCGCTTTCGAATAGGTATACTTATAGTTCATCTTTTATAAATTTCTGGCGTGTCGTGTAGTTCTGTGTATTTATACTAATATTATAAAGAGTAAATATTTATTTGTATGTTTGTTTAAAAACAAATCTACTCAACAGATTTTAAAAATTTTCTATATTCATTATCAGTAACATTGGCAATATATCCCTACGAAATCTATGATAGTTTTAGCTAAGGTATTAATTAACATTTGCCTATAAAATAAATATTTAAATAATGTGATTGTCATAATTCCTTAGTCCATAGCAATGGCGACGCATGTAGTGTATACTACATGTATATGGGCTTCACAGTGTATTCTGTGATGTTACAGCTTTTTCACCACACTGCCCGTAAAGTACATCTATTGTGTTTTAATTATATGCCTAAAGAGTTATTTGGATGAAGTATAATACCTTACAATTTATATCTTTTTTTATTTCTAGTGGATGAGGTAGACGGAGGAGACGATCCAGATATAGACGATTTCGAACGATTGCGAAGCATAAGAGATCAGCAACGTCGTGAAAAACATTTACAGAAACTTATGGCTCGCTCCGTCAGTGCACAGCAGGTTAATATTGTCAGTAAACTTCCACTCCCATTTATTATTTAGCTTTTGTGAAGTCCACGACTCTTACTTGTGTTTCTTTCAGTATTTATTAGTTTTTAATGGTATTTGTTGGGAGGTCATAATCGTTATGGGTTCAATATTTTATATTATCATAGCTATTACATTTTATGAATGTTCACACCGATTAATAAATTTCATAGACAGTAGTAGAAATCCAGTTCTTTTTTTATTAGAACACAGGGGGCAAACGAGCATGCGGCTCACCTGGTGGTAATTGACTACCGCCGCCCATGATCATCCACAACACTAAGATTGTGAAGATGTTTGAATATATATTACTGAAGCACGATTTCTTTTTAATCAAATCAATATTTATTGCAGTATCACAAAATACAATGCTCATACATAAAGAGTGTATAAGATCTTTTAATTATTTTGTGATACTTCATAACAACACGACCATATAGGCAAAGAGTCTTACAATTTGCATTTAAGTAGTATTAAGTACATATAAAAATGTAGAGGCATTACAGTTTTAAAAAATGTTATAGACAGTAGGTAATATATAGTACATACACTTCCTCCCCGTGGTTGCCGTAAGAGGCGACTAAAGGAACGTAACGTAAGGAGGAATGGACAGCAGCGCCACTTTTAAAATATCACCAAACTCTGACTGCGGTTCCCAATACCCCTACTAACTACTGTTAAAAAAACCCCTTACAGGGGTAAGGCCTATATTCGTCAGTGAATAATTAACAGTCGATATAATAGTACATATAAAGATTAATTGATACATAACATTGTATATTAAATTTAATCTTTTTAAATTCATCAATATTATATATTTATATATGAAAACTAGTTTTCACATAGTATTTTAATTAACGCGCTTTTAAATTTCATTACTGGCAAGTTTTTAATAGAATTAGCTAAACCAATTGTACAATTTTAAATTAGAGTTATTCGTAGTAAAACATGTAGTACTATGAGGGAGTCCGCCTAAATGTCACTAAATCTTTCTTTTATATTGAGTAGTAATGAAATGGTAAACTCGCCAGCGCGAGAATATACAGTATCAGAGTACGCTGAAGGAACGACTGAATCAAGTTTATGTGGTTGAATAAGATTTTATACATAAGTTTATATCTTGTATTTCCATTTACGATAATATTCATACATTAGTATGAAAGACATGCGGATTAAGTTGGGAGCTAAGCTTATTTGCTACGAATAGATAGTTATAATACTCGATATTTTTGTAGCTCATCCACCTCACTATAGGTACCCGGAAGATTGTATAACTGGTTTGTTGAATTAGAAAATTAATAAGTCATATCTTTTATTTTTTCAGCCTACGGGTAGCATGGAGCTAATAGATAACGATTTATTGTTAGAGGATCTACTAGCACAGTCGGCAGAATTGAAAAAACAAGAAAAAGTTAAAAACGACTCACAGGACACCACTTGACAAAGTAGTTTTATATTTCAATGGGATTAAGTTTCGAGACCAGTGCATTTCAGTATTAATAGTTATTGTGATACTATACTGTACGGATATTCTTAAGAAGAATAATGTGTGAATGCTTAAAAGATATTATGTAGGTATATTTATTGTGTACATAAATCGATTATCTAAAACAGTGTTTTTATTGCTTACTATTATTCCATATAGATATTTTAGTACTCAGAAATGGCAACAAGATTTCATGACTGTTATTGTATACTTTGGTATTCAAGTCTGTATGGGTGGTTTTCTAATTAGGTTTTGTTATTTTGTTTGCCATTTCAAGTTGTTATAAATTATATGTAATAGATTAATATTTTTATTATAATTTAAACATTGACTGGCGGAAAGGGATTGTTAGTAATGGAGACTATGTACGAGGTTTGTCCGGAAAGTACGTATAAAAGTTTTTTAAAAATTTTATTTTACAATTATTCAGGTAAATCAATTTTATCCCCTTCAAAGTACTCCCCCTGTGACATAATGCACTTGTGCCAACGCCGTTTCCACTGTGAGAAGGCTCCTTGAAAGTCCTCTGGTTGTAGGTTTCTCAGCTGGCCCGTCGTAGCTTTTTTTATCTCATTTATGTCCCCCAAATGCCGCCCCCGAAGTACCAATTTGGTTTTGGGAACAAGAAGAAGTCACACGGGGCCAAATCCGGCGAATAGGGGGGTGTTCGGTCACCGTAATGGAATTTTTACTCAAAAACTCACGGACAACAAGAGAGGTGTGGGCAGGGGCATTGTCGTGGTGAAGAATCCAACGCCCCTCTCGCGCCAATTCTGGACGAACTCGTGCCACACGAGCTTTGAGGCGTCTGAGCACATCGACGTAGAATTTTCCATCAACTGTCTGGCCTGGAGGGACGAATTCTTGATGGACAATCCCCCGAACATCGAAAAAAACAATCAACATTGTCTTGACATTTGAGCGGGATTTTCTTGAGATGTCTTCCACTCTTTGCTTTGGGATTTTAATTCGACATCAAATTCGTAGAACCAAGACTCATCTCCAGTGATGACTCGGTTCAAAAAGTCACCATTCTCTTCGGCTTCCAACCAGTCCTCACAGCAAGCAACTCTTCGTGATTTTTGATCCGGGGACAAATCTTGGCGCAAATTTTTTTCATTTGAAGTTCGTTTCTTAGAATTTCGTGGACCACGGTTTTGCCCAAATTAAGCTCTTCAGCCACCTGTCTGACCGTTAAACGACGGTCCCCATTAACACAAGTTCGAATTCTTTCCACGTTTTCGTCGGAATGTGAAGTGGAAGGACGTCCTGAACGTGGGTCATCTTGAACGCTTTCTCGGCCCTCTCTGAATCTTTTTAGCCACTTGTGGACGGTTGGTTCCTTCACAGCATCATCCCCATAAACTGTTCTGAGATCGGCAAAAATTTCACGGCCATTCTTGCCGAGTTTCGAGAGAAACTTGATTACGACGCGCTGCTCTTCAACGGAAGCGGGCTCCATGCCGACGGGGTTTCGTTAAGAGGTAACTTCACAGATGGCGTGACAAGCCAGTTCGCACCGCACGGAGGTCAGACCAGAACTGAAGCATTGTTAGGGACATAAGGAAGGGGTCCTGCGCTTACCTGGCCTCCCCACTCCTCTTTCTCGCATTCCAGAACACTTTTATACGAACTTTCCGGACAGACCTCGTATACAATATATGTACCTAACCAGGTCGACCTGGGGGGAAAGGGATTGTTAGTAATGGAGACTGAGAATCCCATTGCTAGCAATATACCCAACCAGGTCGACCTCCTCGCGGTTCTCCCCGGAAACTATCATGGTTAATTCCTGATGAATTCATCATGATGGGCTAACTGGCCTGTTTTCATTCTCATTTATCACCCTTCACTGGTGCTCCGCCAGCGTATCCCGTTAGCGCAGGCGGGGTTACCATACCATTTTCACTTATCAAAAAAAAAAAAACCAGGTCGACCTCCTCGCGGTTCACTCTGGAAACTATCATGGTTAATTCCTAATGAATTCATCATGATGGGCTAATGGGCCTGTTTTCATTCTCATCTATCACCCTTCACTGGTGCTCCGCCAGAGTATCTCGTTAGCGTAGGCGGGGTTACCACCATTCCTATTAGCTATTTTGCAAATATTTTTACTGATCCTGCTAACGAGTCAGTAAAAATATTTGTGAAATGGTATCTATTAAAAACAAGAAATACATATTTACAATTTATTGAGAATAAAATTCTCTGGTAAAATACACTGACAATTAATCCTTATTCTAATCCTGCTTCTCTATTCGCTATTTCATAATTCCTACTAATATTATAAATGTGAAAATGAGTTTGTTCATTGGCAGTAATTAGTCTTTGGAAAATAAGAATAACTTTAGAATCAGCGATGATATGTAGTCCTCTTTTGCAACATGCTTTTTGGATTTGGTGAAAAAATGAAACAAAGTATATAGTTTTCAGAGGAAATGTATTCTAATCATAGGACTTGTTACTTAAAGCTTGAGCTTTGTCCTCCTCCAGTGACGCCTCTTAGCATTGTATCTGAAATAATATTTTAACACTTTTTAAGTACTTATTCATACTTTTTTCAGTATTAAAAAAAATAGCACAAAGAATATTGATGCAACACCTCTGTCTCATATTTAACTGGTAGGGCTTAGTCAACATATATTGTGCATTCAAATTAAAATAAATAAATATTATTTTGAAATATTTATAGGTGTGAAACAAAATGTATGGCATAGAGAATTGATCTTATTCTATAAAGTTAGTGTTTTTTCCATATACTTCTTTAAAATTATCTAATCATCCAGGGCAAGATTGCTGGTAAAGTGTAAGGGGAGACGGTATTCTAGTTTGAAGAACCTTCAGGAGTAGTTTGGTTGTAGCATTACCTCACTCTTCAGAGGGGCTACTTCAAAATTGCCCTTATATCATCCAACCTTCAATAGGAGAGGAACTTAAAGATTCAGTTATAAAAAAAATATTTGAAAACTGTCAATTGCCAACAGTTAAGTCTAGTGATAATACTGAATACATTGTTGCAATTCTTTCTAAAAACTTAATAATTTAATATTTAAAGAATAAACTGACTTCAACTACTAATTAAGATAAAAATACCTATATTCTTTTCTATGCTTAATATTAAGTGTAACTATAAATTATGTATATTAAAGGGTTTTGCTGGGTATTGATATAAAATCTGCACTGGTGTCTTTGGTTGCTAGTTGTTGGAAATAACTTTTGGCCAATTATCATATCTCTAACTTTATTCATTTTTGAGAAATGGGGGTTGCAACTCCTAAATTCAAAATTATTTTTCTACCTAACTATGATAGATATTTATTGTAGAAGTAAACAGTGACAAAGACTACATTTCCATATATATAGAAATTAAAGATTGTGTTCCATGAAAAAAAAAAAGACTTCATTTATGGCAAAACCAGTTTTATTTTGAAACTAAACTACTGAATCGATATTGACAAAATTTCTATGCGATCAATCTGTAAGTATATTCTTTCAGATAAAAAAATCCAAATTGGTTTAGAACTGAACTGACGGAGTTATGAAATAACAAAATATAAACAAACAGAGAAACTCCTCTTGAAGTCAGTTGAAAAGATATCTTGGACATTTATCATACTAAAAAAGGAAATTAAATAAAGAAAAAAAAAAAAGAAAATAAACGATCTTTTTGTGTGTGTGCCTACTTATATAGATTTTTTAAATATATTTCACCCATCACCAATCTATATAATTATTACGCATTATAGCTGTATGTGTTGATTATAAATGTTTATTTCGGTTTATGTACCTCAAGAAATGGCTACTAAAAGCCAGCTTTACAATATTTTTTGCAACTTTATAGTTATTTTAAAAACTATAAATATATATATATAATATATAAAGTTAATTACGAGTTTTCATGTTGCTTTGGTTTTATTCAAATATTCATCAGTCTCGTAGAAAAATAGACTTAGGAGTTGCAGCGCTCATTTTCCAAAAACGAATGGAGTTTTTAGTTTAATAATTGGTCAAAAATTATTTGTAATAAATAACAATATATTAAAGATCAATGTTAACAAAGACGGTAGTGCAGATTTCTATGGAAATTCGGTGAGACCCTTTCATGAAGACTGGCGGAGCCATTAATGCAACAAATGATAAATTTTTCAAATTTAGTAAAGATTAAGCAGGTGAATCAACATTACTCAGGACACCGAGTTTACTAGTATTAGCATAAAACAGTATTTATTAAATATCGGATTAAAACTTACCGAATAGTGTTCCCCGTGCGCATTCTAACCCATTGGGGAATAGGTCTGTTTTGTTTTAGTTTCTTAGCTAATTTCCGCTTAATAATAAAGGTCTTGTGGGCCGACTGAAAAGAATAAATTGAGAATAAAGTTATTGTCAATAAAAATTATAACAAGATTATTAAAATATTTATAGATTTTAGAAATAAGAAAACATACCATTGTGGCTCAGAATGATGTCAAAACAAAATGACCGAATGAAAGAAATGTCGATTGAACGAAATTAACTAGTGTTGTACTAGTCAAGTAGATTGCCAGTGCCGATTGAATGAAATTACGTAGTGATAACAAGTCAATCAGTCATAATAACCTGATGAGATGCTCGAGCATAAGCAAATTTAAGAGTATGGGGCAGTGTCACCCTAGAATTGTTTGATTGAGTCTTAAAATTAGCTGCACTCCTTAAACAAATTATAAAAGAATCTATTGATAAAATTGGTATTGCTAGCGAGTTAAGAATAAAGAATGATTTTTTATGTGAACACTAACCAAAATGGATCTATTGATAGATTTCTTCATATCTTGTAAGGAGTTGGGGGAGGGGGGACAGGAGCGTAGTTTTATCTATGAACAACATATGATACATGCCTATACGAGTAATAATATTTTTAATACTAACATTAAACTATTACAAATATAAGAAATGAAGATATCAACCATAAAAAATTAACTAATAAAGTATATTAACTTTCAAAGAATAAATAAATTCAACTATTGAATCCAATTCTAAAACATAACAAAATTAGAAATAAAACTTTAACTGTTATATCCAAAGCCGTAAATAACGTTAATAAAAAAAAATTCGATTGAATGATCGAAAAGAATGAAATTATGACAACAAAGCAGCCTAAGAACAAGGAATTACAAAATCCGCATTACATTTACTGACATTGACAGACAGTTGTTTGATTTCCTTCTTCTGGTGACAGAAATAAATTGTTCTTATAAAGTTTGTTATTATGTAAAAGGAAAATTGATAATTATTTATTAAAAAGAATTGATTACAAAAAAATCAACAACTATAAACAATAGCTACAATCTTTGGAAACTGGATATCAGATATTATTGCTCTTCATTTATTAATTATAGTATCTGGAGATCATGGTTAAGGAATTACCTTTATGACATTTTCATTTTGAAAGTTTCATAAAGAGAGTAAAAAAAATGAATAAATTTTTAGTGTTGTTCGAATCTAGAGGATTGTTTACATCCCTTGGGTGTCGTTTTGTGTCTACTAAACTCACAGTTGATGGAAAAATAATACCTAAGAAAAAAACCTTTGAGAATAGGATTACATTGATAGGAGTTGATAATTCCGTTAGTATTACAGATTTCAAGAACGCCGAAAGTTTGTCACAACGGCGAGAACTGAAATTGGTTAAGGTTCAGGATGTTGACTCTAAAACAAGACGTCCTATTTACAAGTAAGACATGATTAACAATTTTTTATAGTTTTATTTGTATGACAAGTTATTGTTAGTGCTGTTTCAGATTAATGACAAATGCCGAGTATCACACAGAAGAGTTACAAAGGCGGAAGGAGAAACAGGAAATCCGCCAGAAAAATATTGTAAAGTCAGTCAAGTTATTGAGCCTATCATCTAAGATAGGAGACCATGACCTTATGACTGGAGTGAGAAAGATGATAAAATTACTAGAAAAACAACATGAGGTTAAGGTGGTTATAATTGGCGAGGGTGAGCAGGCATCAATAAATTCTGTAAGTATTTCTTTACCCATAGAAAAATTATTTTACTTTATCATTTTGTTTCAAGTTAGTTTAGGTTTCTTTCTTTGTGGTAATATAGTTGAAAATGTAAAAAAGTTAAATTCAACTGAGTTGAAATGAAGGTCATTGACAGGAGTCATCCTTTTAGTGACCTTAGTGATATTTATTTAATAGTCTTTAATTACTGATAGTACAATTGTACATAAATAATACAGTCACAACTGTAAACAAATTATCTATTTGTTTACAGTTGTGAATGTATTATTCACAACTGTAAACAAATTATCTTCTATCAGTTTGTCTTGTGATATAGGCCTCCTCCAACACTTTTCACTTCTCTCGGTTTTGTGTGGTTTCCTCCCTCTGTTTTGTTACCATTGTGTGGATACCATTTGGTCATTTCTTTAGTGATATATCAATTTAAAGTTGCCTCACTTTTAGATGGTTGTGGGTTTAATATCTGTAAAATACAAATTACTAAAGCTGAAATATTTAAACAAACTAAAAAATTTGACATTCACAATAGAACTAGCCCAGATAACATTCCTTTTTTTATCAAATGTTAAGTTAAGTACCTCAATTTTCTTGCCTCTATCTTTAATAATAAATTGATCGCTAAGTGATGGATTGTTCCCCTATGAGTGGAAAACAACAAAAATGTGATACTTGCCAATTTTTATACAATTTATGGTGCAGAAGTGTTTGAAACAGTGTTAGCATTGATAATACCATGAAATACCATCATTGAGTTATTGACAAAACATTATAGTCCTAAGTCTAATGAGATTACAATGTCCTACAAGTTTTATAAACGCAACAAAAAAGAAGATGTAAAGGTACTGGACTACTTAACAGAATTACGAAAAATATCTGCACATAATTTTAGTAAATTGGAATGCAATCTTTGTGATTGTTTAATGTATGGCATATGACATAAAAAAATATAATTTGAGCTATTACAATGTCAAGTTAACATACAAAGAAGTGGTGGACAGAATAACAGCAGCAGAAACAGCTCATCATGATACCAGCATAATGTGTGCAGCACAGCATACACCGAGTATGTTCAGTCCAGTTCAACATCAGAGCCATTGGATATTGGTACTGTATATGACAAAAATGATACTAATATTGAATTCAGATTCTGCTATAGATGTGGCGGTAAACATAATGGCATATGCAGATATATTAATGCTAAATGTCATTTCTGCCAAAAAAATTGTTATTTAGATAAAATTTGTACTCAGAAATGCCAAAATCAAAATGTTCCGTACACAACCGATAAAGATTCCAATGTTCAGGGCAGTGATTCACTTAATGGTGTATATTGTGTAAATCAATAATATATAGAGAATATTTTATTGAATATTTTATTTTATTTATTTATTTATTTATAAAATTTTTATTGCCTGTTTCTTTGTTTTTGAATCATTACTATAGACTTTAATTGTACAGAAAATGGTTGTTGAGTCATTTCTAAACTATCTGCAAGCTCCTCTTATGTTTGACTTCAATCTTCATCGAGTAATACATCCAATTCTTCGTTTCATTTGTTTTTGATTTTTTTTTTGTTGTCCGGGTCGAGGCTTATCTTCGCTGAAATCACCATCCTTAAAACATCGGAACCATTCTCTACATTATTTATCAGTTGGAGCATTATCACCATAAACTTCTACAAGCATTTGACGCGCTTCTGCTGCACTTTTCTTCCAATTGAAGCTAAAAATTAAAACCTCCCGCATATGCTGCTTAGTTAACACAAAATTTGATGTATTAAAAAAAATTTAAAACAAGACCGAACTAAAATTTGTACACCCAATATATATATATATATACTAATTTCGAAGTAAACAGGATTTAAATCCACATCTATATATATATATATATATATATATATATATATATATATATATATATATATATATATATATATATATATATATATATATATATATATATATATCTGATCATATTTTCACGTGTATGATAAAGAGCATTTAATGATTATTTAATATCATAATTTTATTTTATTCCAGGAGAGGCTATATTCAGTAATTGAAAGCAATGTAAAGTCTGTGGGAAAAATAGTTCAAAAAAGGAATAAAGGTAATAGTTTAAGATTTCAATTGCTACCAGCGAAACAAAGCAGTATAGAGTCCACAAATGATGTTAATAATAGTCAAAATGAGAATAACAAGGGACCTTTATGACTAGCCGTAGTTATTGTAATAATATTATTAACCAAATATATTCTTTTAAATCATTTCTTGTTTAAAAATGAAAGAAATAAAAATGATTCTCATGATAATGTGGATAGTATTTGGTTATATAAATATTATTCTAATAAGAACAAATGAGTGAAAAAAAAACATTCTTATTTACTGCTAGAATATAGTTTATTGATTATTGTACATTCAATTTTATTATTATATTTTACATGTAAATTATTTCAGAAACTTTGTAAATAAAATGTAACAAAGTTACTTCTGAATGATTTAATATTGTGTTCATTTAATCAGTCACAAATATATTATATAACTTTATATACAACTTAAAAACGATGTATGGCAATTGCCATGGCAAGGAAAGTTTCTATTCTACACATGTTGCTTATGTTTAACTATAAAAATCATAAATTAATGTTTTATCCATTTGAATTATATCACAGATGCTTCAGAGATCTTTAAATCTTAAATGGTAGGTGATTTATGAATAGAAATCCTAGGTATTAAAAGCTTTTAGATAAATACATGATTATTATAGTATTATGACACTATTATACAAAAGATTTATTTTTCATTAACCTCAATTTTTAATAAAAACTGAATTAACTTGAAATTACTGTATGATTTGTTTTTACAACCTGAAATAATTTTGGTATTTTTTCAACTTATTTATAACATGTTTCAATAAAAAAAATCTATAATTCTTATTTCTTATCTATTGTTTAACATGGGTATGTACAACCTAAGTGTCCAATTAATATCTTGATAGTTACAAAATAAATGTTACAATATAACATCGATATGTTGAATGGAACACATTAAACTTATCCTATCTTCACATAGCTGTAGCAAAATCATCTACCAAGCTATGGAATTTAAAAATGAACACTGATTTTTATTAATTCTACATAATTATGTATTTTCATCTATTCCTTGAAATGTTTTGTGTGTTAACTAGGTCTGAATGACGTAGTTACGGATTTTTTTGGGAGGACCAGTGACCAAGAGCATTCAATTTTATTATATGTTATTAAATCCACATAGCCAGAGCCAGATCTAGGGGGTGCCAGGTGAGAAAATGCTCTGGGTGGGAAAATAAGTTCACTGCTATTTAACATGGTTATTCTTTATAAAGAGTGGCAAATATTATTTTTTGTCTGAAGTGGGAAAATAGAGCGGAGGCTGCATCTAGGGAGGAACGAAATTTCTAGGTTTTCGCCAGTCTACCTTCCTAACAAGTCTCTGCCAAGCCAACAAAAACTACGTATAGACAGCAATGTACGCGTATCGGTCTCCGTCTGCTGCTGGCAGATCAGTGTTTAGAGTCCGGCCCCAAGTCAGAAGGGGCGACACGGTGCCTACCACGGGCGCAGCGCGAGCTACATTTTTTACGAGGTGCTGTAAAAGAAATACACAAATAAGTATATCGGGTAAAACAATATCTAAGAAGTCAATAACATTTCATTAGTTGCCTGATAGGAATATAGTAAGAGAAACAATAAAATAAAACGAATACTTGACAATGAATGAACACCCAAGTGAAAAGATTAGTTCCCCAAATTGTTCCGACTTATCCTAGTACACATTTTTATGTAAACATGCAAACGTGCTATGGACATGGTTTGTAGTACGATAAATAATCTGTTATCTAGTTAACTCTATAGTTTAATTATAATATCCTATTTACTACCAATTTATAATAAAATATTCAAAATTAAGTGAATTCTACAATTTTCTACAGGGAAATTAAAAAGCAATTCTATTAAGATATCTACATAATTATATTCCTATAAAATTAACTTACTGTCCGATCTAGCCATTTTGAAATTGAAAGTTAATTTTAAAGTATGGTGTAGATATGGTAACCAATAACCCCAAGTTGATTACATGCGAAAAATTAAGAGGCAGTGGTTTGGTGCTGGAATACATGTAATTTATTAGCTAAGGATATGACTCGGAAGATATATAATTATCTCTGTATGATCGGCTGTATACGAGAAGTTGAAAGAATTAAACTGACTACTGCCTTTTAATGTAACTGGTTAACTTATTAGTATATACATGCGGTAAGCATTAATATGAGGGTTAGTTTTTCGACACCTTTTTGTTCTCTTTCGAATTAAAAAAGAATCTTGGTTTATTAATTCAGTTCTATAAATTTGTACCTGTCTACATTCATGGTAGGATCATAAGAATAACGGTTATTTATTCTTATGGTAGGATTGAATAGAAGTAATTTTAAACAAATCTATATTATGTAAAAATCTTTGTAAATAAAATAGTATTAAAATTTAAAGTAATGGTGCATAGTAGGTTCGTGGATATAGACACAAAATCGAATAGATATATCTATATTTGACTGTAGTAGTATATTACTAACTGTAGCCGTAGGTTGATTAGGTGTAATATTAAGGGACATCTAAAAAATATTAGTCTCAATTAAAAAATATAATAAAATTGTAATTAGACTTTTTTTTATACAACTTAGAATGGCAAACAAGCTGACTGCCCACCTGATGGAATGTGGTAACCGTCGCCTATAGGCATGAGCAGTACCATGGACATAACAGTATACTGTTTCGCCCATGATACCCTCCATGCGTTGCCATTCGTGAGGACTCGGGTGTTATTCCTCTGTACCCAGTAAATTCACGCCAAACGACGTCTGCGTATCTATACAGACATAATATATTGTACTTATAAGAGATATTTATAACAATTTAGAGATGTGGGGAATTAAATGACAATCAAAGCCAAAACAAGATTTTTATAAAGTTAATGACGGAATCTAGTATCAAATAGGATGCGGTTTTTAAATTGTAATCTTGAAGATCGCACTTAACCCAAAATTCCTACGGGAATAAGTCTGTCCGGTATGGATTAGCGTGGGTGAAGCTGCGAAACGGCTAGTACTCCAATTTTAAATCTAAAAACGATATAAAGTAAAACGATTTGTAAATATATAAACGAGAGAACAATCGAGCGTCGAGGGACAGACACACCGTGTTACCCATGAGAGTGGTTCGCCGTCGGCCCGAGCGGCGCTTGCGCCGGCACCAACACCGGCGACCCCGAGCCCGAGCGCGCCCGTACCCGCGACTCCGAGCGCGTCCCACCTCGCGCCGCGCCGACAGCGCCGTGCTCGCGCTCCCGCTTGCTACGCTGTCGCTGCTCAACACCGCCGGCGCGTCCGGCCTGCTCTGCTCCTCCTCCTCTGCCGACCGGTCCGCTATCATGTGCGCTTCTAATTCGTCCAACGGAGCTTCCGAACTGAAATACATAAACAACAATCAAATTAAAACAAAAGTCTTTAATTATACGAGTGTCATGGTTCAAGGTCAAGGTCAAGATTCATATCTGTTGGCAAACTTACTTCATTGCTTTAATCGCGCCATTCCGAAAAGATCGGATTACTCGATTATTAACCAGGGTTAAAGGAACAAGATCCCTTGGACGGAGAGCGGCACGATTATTGGAGTCGGTCATCGACACGTAGCAAATATCTATTACGGAAGTCATAAGATCGGAGAATAATGTTCTATCGGACTATCGGGCATTACCTACGTGAAGTACAACACCCATGTATAACTAAGAGTTACGATTTTTAACAGTGACTAGGACTGGCATACAGTAAGTGGCATAAAGCAAAGTTTAATTTGTTGATATATTTTTATGTTAGCGCTAGTTGGGACCGTTAATGCCTGCTACTAATAATTTTAGGTTTTGACTTTTGTTTCAATTATAATTTTTATGGAACCCTTGGTGTGCGGATTTGACTCTAACTGGGTTGATGTTTACACGATAAACTTATATATTTATAGTATTACTAACGCCATAACATCTTTAAATATTATTTCAAAATACTTACTATGCACTGATAGAACAGTATTTACTGAGTTGTTCCCATGTACATCCTATAGTGCAACATTCATCTGCTATGCCTAATTGCCGTTTCCTCCTTACCACGGCACCCGTTTGTTCCACCACTGTAACAAATAATATCTATAAAATAACTGTATTGCAAAGAAGTAGGTATCTTAGTACCTAGACAAGTAGGATTATTGCTAGATTTCAAAATGAATTTACTTTCATAATTGATACTAATTAACGTTTATATATGTAGTCAAATATATTTAAAAAGATAGATAATCTTTATTGTTTCTTTCATATAAGTACAATAGTAAACTAATTATAAATACAAACAATTACGAGAAAATATTACACTAAGAAAACAATGGGCGGGCTTATCGCTAAGAGCGATTTCTTCCAGGCAACCTTTGGATGGAAAAGCGTAATTATAAACAGTTTGACTAGAGGCACGAAATTGTTCGTTTTTTAAATACATATAGAGATATGCATACATACAATAATGTGAATATATAAATATATATATATTAAATTGCTAATACATACTTAAATAAATCCATATATACAAATCAATACATATAATAAAATCGTAACTGGTTGCTGTCTGTACATTGTAAATATATATGAAAAACTATTATAGCGGGGCTTTATGAACGCAATAGAATCCAGAGCAATATTTTTTTGAATTTTTGTTTGTTTGTATGCTTGTTTGTCTGTACGTTTGTGCGCGCTAATATCAGAAACGGCTATAACGAATATATTGAGCGTTTCAGAGATTCACGTGAATGAAAACCGAGACAGGGAATTTACGAGTATATAAATTAAGAAGATAATATATGCTCGTACCTAGTGGTGATAGTTACAAATTAATACTATCATCCTTAAAGATAATTAATACTTAATAAATAAAAAAGTAATTGTTAACTGAACTATTCGTAGCAATCTGCAGTTACTAAGTTTGTTTGTCAGTCTGTCTAGGTATGCTGTAATTAAAATAATTAGAGACGGCTGGCATTCAATGTTATCACTATCATCGAGTAACGAAAAGATTTGAGAATTAATGAGCTAATTAATAATAACAGTTATCACGCTGTTTAGCTCGTTGGGGACCTGATATTAAACCTTTCCGTAAATATTTTCAAAGTCAACTAATAATTAATATCGGCGTATAGAAATCCTTAGAATTCGATATGCATTAACCGAAAGATCATTTAAAATAGAAAAAAACTTGAAATAGAAAGTTTATCTATTTTATAAGCATCTCTACACGTGTCTTTTGTAAAGTAACCTAGTCTTAACTTGAGCACACCCAATACAAATTGTCAATTTAACGTGATTAATAATTAGCATTAATTGTCGCAGTTACAGTGAGCAATTGTTATAAATTTGAAGCCCATTGATAGATTCATTAAATTTTATAATTCTACACTACTAATAATATTTATTATCATTAGTAGTGTAGAATTATAAGATTTATGTATTTTAATTACATGTTGGAAAGGTCACAGTTAAATATGGTTTATATAAGTGGAGCTTGTTTTTGCTGTGATAATCAGAGTTAGGTATAGTCATAGGGTCATAATGATATCGAAACAATAAAATATAATTCTACTATGATTCCTGGTCGATTTCCAAAATATGATTGAACAAAAGGTTAAAACAATTATAGGTGTGGTACAGAAGTAAGGATCGAAACTGCATCCAATAAATGGAGCAATACTGTAATAATTCTTTAAGAGATTATAATAACATAAACTGCAGCATATCAAAATAAAGATTCGGTTTATTGATATACCGAAGATGAGGGTTATAAATCAACCGCTTTGTTTTTGTTTTATGGCTTTTGCAAAAATTCGAGCAATGGGGTCGATTCTGAGGCTCTAGTTCTCTAAACTTATCTCAAAAACTAAAATTCCAATTTGATATTACAGCGAATTCTATATTGTAAGGACCGATGAGAAATGGTCTCTGAGAAATTGCGTCTCAGAATCGGTATCAATATTTCTGGAATTTAGCGCATAACTAAAAATTATGAAGAAGTAATGACCAAATTGATTACAATTAAATTATGATGTAAACACGTGTGTGTGTGTCGGTCGGATTTGACAATTAGGTACAAAATTGTTATACAAAATGAGCAGATAATTAATTCATTGATAAACTTGGATTTATCTATGTTATTATTGCTGATTAAAATATAAAGTTTGCGGTACATTACTCTTTGACTTGGGGATGATAAACATAGGTATTTAAAATCACGAATGTTACAAATGAAGAACTAATTTATCTTGTCCGTGGGAATATTTAAAAATTATTATGATTGTATGGTGTACATTTGCTAAAAATAAACATCTGCCTGTTATTTTTTACTTTATCCACAAATTTAGCTAATTACAAGTTTGTTATGAATGTGTGATGAGAATTAGCGACAAAAAGTTCTGTGTATTTCTATTTTAAAAAGGGTTGCTGTTAATTTATTTAGCATTTTCATAAATATATTTGCGTATAGGCGCAACATTTAACGTGCTATTTCTATATCCAACTGCACACTCCGTAGATATGAACAATAATGTTACTCCAATTTTCAGTTTGATATTGGTATAGAAATAGTACCATTAGATTATTGTATATATCAAAGTTTTTATTGGTTCAGACCCTTTTCATGCTCGTTCATTTAAAACTAGTAATATATCGCGGTTTTGTTTGCGTGAATTAAGTTTATAATATGTTTATTTAAGAGAATCCATCGGTGTACCAATTTATCAGTTGTAAGTCATAACGTGATCGTGAAGTATCAGCTAACCTTCTTTACAAATTAGCTATTATATTTATATACATGTTGAATTTAAAACAAGATATTTCATACAAGATCGTATTTTAAACACTAGCGTCAATGTCAATCTTATATACTCAGTACCTGTGTATCTTATAATTAACTGCATAATTATTTTTATAGGCGGCTACTAATTTGATATTATGTCACAATTATGACTGTTGATAATGAGAATGGAATGTAATTAAGTAGCGAGAAATATTAAAATAAATAAACGATACAAAGTCGACTCACCTAAAAGGAACTGAGATATCGATGTTGTTATACACTAGTATATATTATTACATAAACATACGTTATGTACTTATGGGTATATGTTTCTGGCGACCTTCTCGGGCTGTTACTGATACTGATAGATACTACTCTTACTTTGCGGAGTTGAGCATTCAAACGATTTATTTTCTAAAAGTTTTTAAGTCCTCTTTTTATATTTAGGTCATATACGAATATATTACTCAGGTTAGTAGATAGTAATGTGAACCCTGACGAAACTCCGCGATTGTACGAGGTTTGTCCGGAAAGTTCGTATAAAAGTTTTTTAAAAATTTTATTTTACAATTATTCAGGTAAATCAATTTTATCCCCTTCTTCTGTGACATAATGCACTTGTGCCAACGGTTTCCACTGTGAGAAGGCTCCTTGAAAGTCCTCTGGTTGTAGGTTTCTCAATGCCCCGTCGTAGCTTTTTTTATCTCATTTATGTCCCCCAAATTTTTGGTTTTGGGAACAAGAAGAATATAATCCCATTTGATATGGAATTTTTACTCAAAAACTCACGGACAACAAGAGAGGTGTGGGCAGGGGCATTGTCGTGGTGAAGAATAATAATGGACGAATGCCACACGAGCTTTGATGAGCACATCGACGTAGAATTTTCCATTTTTGGAGGGACGAATTCTTGATGGACAATCCCCCGAACATCGAAAAAAAAATCAACATTGTCTGCCCTCTCTGAATCTTTTTAGCCACTTGTGGACGGTTGGTTTTCACAGCATCATCCCCATAAACTGTTCTGAGATCGGCAAAAATTTCAGCCATTCTTGCCGACGAGAGAAAATTACGACGCGCTGCTCTTCAATGAATATGCCGACTCGTTAAGAGGTTTCACAGATGGAGACACCGCACGGCGGTCAGACCAGAACTGAAGAGAGACATAAGGAAGGGGTCCTGCGCTTACCTGGCCTCCCCACTCCTCTTTCTCGCATTCCAGAACACTTTTATACGAACTTTGACAGACCTCGTATCTATTCATGAAACTGAACAATCTTCTCAAAGGATAATATCTACAAATTTTTGATTTTCCGAGAATATAACCAGTTGATACATATATATATATATATATATATATATATATATATATATATATATATATATATATATATATATATATATATATATATATATATATATATATATATAATATATATATATATATATATATATATATATATATATATATATATATATATATATATATATATATATATATCACATATATTACCTTCGTCTCTTCTAAAATACTATATCCGAATCCTAAACAAAGTACATTAGGGAACTTTGGAAGTAGATATAGGTACCTATACTTTTAAAAGATGATCGATGTCATACATGTGTAAGGTCAAGTGTAGTTATTTCTATTCATCAAAGTAACGTGATTATTGATATAAGTATTTACTTGTATCGATATGACTGAACCCGGACTTCTAATTATTATCAACTTGCTAAAAGAGGGGACAATTTTTTTGCTCTAAAGTAGAGCTCTTACTTTTCCCCAAAATCGTGGTTCTATTACCGTAACATGATAAACATTTATATCCATTTTTTTCCAATTTTTTAAAATTGAATAGTTGTTCTTAAATATATTTACTTCCCGTATAAATTTTATCAAAATCGGTTAAGTACTTTATTTTTTCAACCGAAATAATTGGATTTTTTAAATCCAATTTATTTTGTCATCATTGAACTTGGTTTTTTGTGGAAGCCAATGTTATTATTGTTCTTAGGACCTAACGAATTAGTTTTCGAGATATATTATATAGTACGGATGGATTCATAGTTGTAAAATGTATAGATATAGAGAAATATATACAAATATATAAGTTCATACCAGTAGGCACATCCCAAGAGGGACTATTGTAAGCGTGGCAGACTCTGCTCATGATTTCTCCCAACTGGCGGCCACAGAATTTGGTAGCTGTAGTGGCAGCTTCTGTTTTGAATTCCCACAGTAGCACCGTCACGAGCACCGCTAGTTGTATAGTTTTGTTTATCACCATACTTTTTTCTCTGACGCTCTGAAAATAATAATTTTTAATTAAATAAATTGAATGGACGTAGACCTAAGACAAAAGAAAAAAAAAATCCGAAATGTTTTAAAAACTAAATGATTCGATTTATTAAACAAATGATAAACGTAGCAAATTTTTCGTAATGGCAAACATACCTACTTGGTTATCAGTAGGTACAATAATATTTTAAATTCGTACCCGATAAGTTTACCTGGTAAATGTAACTTTTAATATTGTTTCAATGTAATGTAGGCGACAAATGTCTGTAACTCGAGTAGCTTCTCGCATTTATACTAGAGGGTTAGGTGTAACGTGACACCGCCGCCCTGCAGACAGGAATAGGGATCCCTTACACTTCTTTTCATTTCCTAAGTGAATTACTTCGAGTGAAATGCATTTTTCTCAATCTATAATAGATAATTTATTGCTCAGCTCACATACAGTTATGATTGAGTAGCTTGAATAACGAAAGAAACAGTATACTATTTTATAACTATTTTATAACTATTCTCCATTTACCTTACATGTGTAATGGATTTTTCTTAAGTTGATAATACAGTATGGCTAGTTCGATATATTGATTCTCAGTCACATATTTAATAATATCGAACAATCTAGATAATACTTATTATTGAGTTTTCTATACTCTTATATTGTAGTTATTCCTACACAATATGGGTCTCGGATTGTTAAGTATTTTGTGATCTGGGAAATTACCCCTATAATTAATATTTTGTAAATTTTTTACATATTTATTTAAATCTGAATTAAGAAGAGTTGACAAAATTCTAAGTTATAGTGAAGGAAAGTTCTGTCTTTAGAAGTATTTAGAATACGAACAGAGTGCAACTATGAAAAGAGTTTCCCAATTTCTTCACTTTTGGTATTCTATTAATCTAGTGACTGTCACAGAATAGGTAAACAATCGGACTAGGAATACATCGTTCACTTCATATATTCAAAAGGCTTTTGTTCCTTATATTATTTATTGGTAGGGACAGAATAGAATTATATGCCATCGACAAAAGTTTTTTAAGTCATGTCACAGAGCGTATTGTACTTGTACATAAGCAATGTACAAGTAGAATATTTCGCCAGTCGCCTTATGTATTATTAAATATTATTTAGTATTATTATAATAGCAGGGTACCCTACGTCACATTTACCCATTCGAGATTTACATGGTGTTCTGTGATTTACACTGTAGAACACATATATAAACAACGAGCTCAATAATTTGAACACTAGATATAAATTCAAACTTGCTGTTTCAAAGTATCACTTAAAAAAAGTTAATAGATCTGTTATGAGAATGGGCTTTAAATATTATATTAAGATACTTAAGAATATTTTGGAACTACTTTTTGATAGATTTAAAATTGTTATTTTTTAAATTCAACAATACTACAGACTCCAAAAATATTCTTGTATCTAAATTAAAGCAAATTATTTAAATTGTTATTTAGAAACATTTATTGAACAAAACCTTTTATTACAAAACGACTACCTGTATGACAAATATACATGGCGTGAGTCAATTATGCGCGGGCTTATTAATGACAATGTAATTTTATAGTATATTCAAATTTTAGATTATATAGTTAGAGTGTCTATATAAATATTTCGACAAAAGTGGGTCAACTTTTTCATACAATTTTGCGTGATAAATAGTTATGAGTGTTTTGTTTATAACTTGTATATTTGTTTTAGAATTTTTGCAACTTTTTAATGCGTAAAACTCATTTTATTTATTAAATAATTGAATATAGATACGTCAAGTGCATACATTATGCGCATAAGTATAGAGAACACTGATAAAAAAACGAGTCAGCTAATTGTCAAATTAGACCCGTTTTTGAGACTCGATCTCTATCTATATAATTTAAGATTTAAATAAATACACAAATGTTAATAGAAATTTAAAAGAGTAGGTAACTCTTGAGTTTTTTGCGGGTTCATCTCAGTAAATAACAACTTGCCGAAGCCTGCAGTAGATTCATAAAAAAATTACGATATAGAAGTTCTTGTAAACAAGTCTATTTGAATAAATATGAACATGAATTTGAATATAATTCAAATTATTTTTGCAATAGATACGAGATGAGTAGCTCACTACCATTTTAGTTTTATAGACAACCCTTGCACAAATTCTTCTGGTATAGTGGGACTCAATTACATTAATAAATTATAATTGTTTGTATCTATAAAAGTTTACTATTGTAACCTTTTGAAAGAAACAATAATGTATATCTATCTTTATATATATATCTAATATATAAAATTCTCGTGTCGCGGTGTTTGTTACCAAACTCCTCTGAAACGGCTTTACCAATTTTTATGAAATTTTGTGTGCATATTGGGTAGGTCTGAGAATCGGCCAACATCTATTTTTTATACCCCTCAATGATAGGGGAATGATTTCATAAAAAATGTATATTGTGTGTAAATCTTGACTGTTATACTATATTTTGAATAATATGTAAGTACCTATAACAATGTACATAAATTGGTACTTCAATAAAATCGTAATATTGTTTTTGATCAAGCAGAGATGTAAAGAACTAATGGATAATGGCCAGATATAAACTTGTTAATAATATTGTTTATTCTGATATAGTAATAAATTACCTATCGGGTCATTTATTTACTACATGGTGCATTGCAGTCAACGTAAATTATTATGATCTTGTTCACGATGTTTACTATTGAACAAGTAAAACAAAGTTTACATGTGTATTTACCGCTGTCATGAAAATTGGTAAGTGTGACCTTGCCTGATGTTGTAAAGCAAGCAGTGACACCGGTTCTGAGGTATCATTTTTCTAAACCTATTTTTTAACCTTATATTTTAATTTGATAATTTCGCGTTAATGGATGTTAATGGAATGGTAACCCCGCCTGCGCTATCGGTAGGTATACACTGGCGGGGCATCAGTGAGGGATGATTGGTGAGGATGAAAAAGCAGGTCAGTTTGTCGTGACGAATTCAATGATACTTTAGTCACGATGGTTTCCTTGGTTGGATGGATGTTGGAGGAACCGCGTGGAGGTCGACCTGATAGAGTATTTTGATAGCAATGGGGACTAACCTCCCCATTACCAACAATCCCTTCCCCCCTTAGAAATGGAGCCTAACAGCTTTATTGCTAGCAACATATTCTATTAGGTCGACCAAGTGGTAATTCTTGTGACATTTGTCACGATACTGTTAGCATTGGCAGGGTTGTCAATCCGTTTTTGTCCATATAATAAAAAAAAAAAAAAACTATTTATGCCAAATACAAAGAAATGTGTACAGGGGTTCCTCTTTATCTTGGTCAATGGTTTTGATAGCATATTTTAGTTATGTTTATAAAGTCGACAGCGTCGCGACTTCGACACGACCGGGATCAAAATTAACCAGCCTGCGTCCATGCCAAATATAAGTACTAAATTTGTGCCAAATTTTATTACAATTGGATGAGCCATTTCTGCCAAAGAGGTACTCAAATAATAAACAAACAAAAAAATTATTATTTACGTAATGTCATAATATGATGTATTTATTAAATAAATAAATAAATATGAAGTATAATATCATATATCTACTTATAGAGATTTCAGTATGTAAGTTCCATTAAAAATAAAAACAATCGGTCAAGTTTGAGTTAGACTCTCATATGAAAGATTGAGTAGATAAAATAATCCGTTAATAGGTTTTTATTTCCTTCACACGAAAATTTATTTGAGCATATAGATATTAGATAAATAGGAGATAAATAATTGATTTATGTATATATTATTAAGAAAAAGATTACGGAACTATGGTTTAAAGAGCGATCCGCATAACGAAATATTTATATTTATTTAGGGGTCTTTCGATAATTTCTAAAAATTATACTAGTTAAAAATATCGCACGTAGTATTTTATTATAAGTATGCACATCTTTATTAACTGTAACAGTTTCAGATTCGCAAATTTGGTTTCACCGCTTCGCCAGTTTCGAAATGAGTAAATGAAGCCTTTTCTTATAATATTTACTCCACTTGAATTATTAGGGTTATGTTTTAATTTTCCCCTTTTGGTTTAAAAAGGATTAAATTGCAAAGATACTTGTTAAGAAAATTTTAATATTTATAAATATATTTTTATACAATAAGGTTGATCCAAACATATTTAAAACTACTTATAATTAAAAGTAGCAATAGATACAGAAACATAAGCTCTGTAGCAAACGAATGGACAGGGTGCATTCGTTTGCTACAGAGGTTTCATTTTCCTTTTGGGCACGGACTCTAATTAGGTAATAATTAATAATAGTTTTTAGCTTATGTTAGTCGGTGGGTAGGTTTTGCGCGATATACTTGATACAAAGTAAAGAATCTTTAAACAGCTTAGCCAAATGAAGATGACTTCACCTTCCTTGTTCATAAAAATGCAAATCAGCTTCTTCCTTTCGTTAAGTGCCGTTCCATTCCAAGAATTGTGTAGGGTGGGTGCCACATTATGTCGTTTTGAACATCATGGTATAATGACTGTTTGTTATAGATAAATATTGCACCGAGGACGTTTTATTTATAGATAGAGGTTTCATTATATATAAGTATTTTTAGAATATGTACTACAACGTGAGTGCGATGTGTAGAGTACACAATTGAGGCAATACTACACCAGTAGCAGTTACTAGTATACCAACGACCAGCTAAAATTAGTACGCGGCGCGTAGGTAGGTACTACGAAGAGCTTATTGATATTGCTCGCTTATAGGACGACTACTATTGAACATGGTAGGATATTTATTTTAGTCACTTTTTTTTAAATAATTGTTATTCGTATTAATTTTTAAAGTGAAACTTTAGAAAAAGTAAATACATAAAACGGAGCCTAACACATCTTAGAGGGGGGAAAGGGATTGTTAGCAATGGAGATTGACAGCCCTATTGTTAGCAATATACCCTATTAGGTCGACTTCCACGTGGTTCCCTCTGGAAACCATCGTGAACAATTCTTATTGAATTCGTCACGA